CCCTTAGCAACTCCTTTCCTAGGTGGCAAAGGACCTAGGACCTGCATTTGGGCTTTGGATATTATCTCCAAAGGAGTTCTTCTCACAGGCATTCCCACAGGTGTCCTGATAGGAATGAAAGATGCCAATTGCGACACTTTAAACCTGCATCCCATTCCTGGACCATACTTCCTGGAGTGCACAAGGAATTAGTGTTTTCTATACATCTTATAACTATCCTATGCAAAGCACACTTACATTGCATTATAATTTGCTAATATTAATTTGCTAATATAAACACTTAATGGATATTATTTTTGGAATATCACCTTTCTGGAAGGTAGTTGTTTTCTAAAATATTGGGAGCCTCAAAAATAAGGTCAAGGAGCCAGGCCTCTCTGGGCTCTGAGAGGCTCTGGAAGTTCGTATGCTTCTCCAAGGATAATGAGGCGGTGGATGACATTGAGGTCAGTGCTTTGATGACCTCCCTGGCTAGCAAGGGGTCCTGGAAGCAGAGGTCCCTGAGACTAAAGCAGACTGTACTCCCTTTTGCTCTATACCTCAGCTATAAGGATCTAGTTTAAGGTAACTTAGCTGAACATTCTTAAGAGGCAAAGAGGCAAGCGGAGGGGAGCCGAAGCTGCGGTGAGCTTTGGCCCGGTCGTAGCACCCTCGCTAGCTTCCACCTATGAGCCGAGGGGCGATCCTGCGGCTGGTCCTCACAGCTGCCCCCAAACTCAAAGGCCTAATCAGCCCTTTGAGGAGGGGGAGGTGTGAGGAACTAGAGCACCTGGTTCAAGCTGGTTGTTTCCAAGTGGGGTTTCAAACTGAGCCTAGCATAAGGGCACCTGGCCAAGGGGGCAAGTGAGGCTTGAAGCCCAACCCCCTTGCTGTCTCTCACCAAGCTGTAGCATGGAGTTGCATCTCCCTAGAGGACGGGGCTCTTTCCCTGATTTTTCTGGGCTATAAGTACCCTGCCAGATCTCTCCCCCACCTCAAACTTTTTTTTTTTAATTTCAAGAGAAGCCATAATAAATACAGAATATTTGAAATGTATACTTAAAAGTTGGTGACTGACACAAAATTAAACACACGCACAAACACACACACTGCATGGGCTAAATAAAACAGCTCAGGGGCTGTAACTGGTAGCCAGTCTGGGACCTCTGAATACAGAAGTGATTGAGGCCCAAGGACACACTGGGAAGTTAGCAGAGCCCAGAGCCAGCACTTAGGGCTCCCTGCATCTCCTTCGATTTAGGTCATGCTATCATGCCTGTAGCCACCCGGCTCTCTACCTCTTGGCAAGACCCTGGGTGTCTTCTGGCTGACTGCTTTCCCACGGGATTCTGCCTCCGGAGCTAAGGGTTACACTGGTGAGACCAGGGGCCTTCCTTGGAGCTTTGTCTTCCTGGGGCGGGGGCGGGGGCGGGGGGGGGGGGGGAAGGATCCAGGAGAGGGGGTGGGGTGGAATCTTGGCAAGGGCAATGAATGGGTCCCCCAGGGCAATGGATCTGGAAGTGAGAAGATGACCATTAGTCCCTCAACTCTCTTAAGGTGAAAGGTCAAACCAACCTGGAGAGTGTCAGGTCACGAGGGCACCTTTCAAGCCCGTGAAGGTCTGGGATGAAGGGAGTGGGGGAATCTATGTGTGGAGGAGGGGAGGGGTCTGTGGATTCAAGTCAAAACCAAAGACTGCACTTTGCCTCCGGTAACTAGACTAAAATGGAAAGCCAGAGTTGGTGCAAAGTATGAAAAACAAATCCTCCTGTTGTTTTGTTTCCTTTCAGAATCAAACCTATTGTAAATCCTCCTAACCTGTGGCCCCCGAAGCATGTGTATTAGCAGAAGGCAATTTCCCCTCAACACACTACCAGCCCTCTCCTGTCACAGGTGTTTCAGCTTTCCTGAAATTAATGTTGGGGAGGTGGGTAAAAACAGAGAAGAAACTCCCTGAGGATGGTAGCCCCCAAATGCCCAAGAGCTCTCCCTCAGGGGAAGCTGATGCAAACCTCTGTTCCCCAATTCCCGTACCCCTGTGCCTGGACATCTATTCCCGGACCCAGGGATGCTACTGCCCCTTTACCTTTTCGGGTCACTTCGGGTGTGTCACCGAAGCGGCGTTTAGACCTTCTCTTCTCCCCCGACCCTGAGGGTCTGCAGTCGGGGCAGCAGGGGGCACCGCCCAGGGCCGAGGCCGAGAAGCGGGGATGGGGATGGATGAAGGCCGCTGGCTAGGCAGGCCTAGGACCGCGAGGAAAGCAGCCCTCACCCCAAGCCTCCCCCCACCCTGTCCTCGACCGTGGCGGGCGCCCAGGGCTCGCTCAGTTCTGCTTGGCCGGCTGCATGACAATGACGGCTGCTGAAGCCGAGCGCCGCGGCCGCCGAAGGGACCTGGCGCGAAACGGGCCATTAAGCCGGGAATGGCGGCTGGGAGAAGGGGGCTATTTATAGAACAAAGCTCGGCTGCCGCCAGCTGCCCCCGCGCGGGGACGCGGCCCAGGCCTCGCCCCGCGGGCCTCGCGTGCTGGGGAGAGGGCCAAACCCCGGGGCCTCCCCGCCGCAGGGCTGGGCTTTCCCTGCAAAACGGCTAGGTCCTGGAGTCGAGCAGCCCTTCCTCACCGTAAAGCTGCTTCTGGGATCAAGGGGACAGAGCCCCAGAAACGCAGGGAGGGCGCCGCGCCGCAAGGCGGGGAAGGGAGGGTGACTCCCAAAAGCTGCCAAGTAACTCCTCTCGCTCCGGCCACAAACTCTCGCCTCCCTGGGGCCCCGGGATGCAGGGCAGCTGGGAAGATCAGGCCCGGAGGCCACCGGCTCGCCGGCCCACTCTCGGGCGCTCCCGGGGCTGGGCGGGCGTGCCTACGCCTGCGCCGCCACTATCTCCAGCGCGCAGCAGCTGACGGATGGCCTTTTAATAAGCCCCTCGTTAATCTTACCCCGCCTCTCCACCCCCTGACCGGGGACGTCCGTATTTTCTGGCCCGATAAGGCTAGAAATTTTAGACGGTGAAATGTAGCAAGGAAAGTAAGTTCTCATTGTTCAGTCGGAGCCACTCAGCTGTGTCCCTTCGAACAAATCTCCCTTTTTCCTTAAAAAAAAAAAATTACAGCCCTTGGGCGTTTTCATTTTAGATCCTTACGTCTCCGGAGAGCAGTTCTTTCTCCCGTCCAGCTCCCAGATCTATTTTCCTTCCTCTCTAGCAAATCGTGCCCGATACCCACTCTCCGTCTTGCGGCCCCACGCCCCCTCTGCCCCCTTTCCCTTCCCTCCTCTCCTTCAAGGGCAAGCTCCTCAAACCCTCTAGCTTGCACCGCCCGCACCTCCTCCAGGTAGGCCACCGAGGGCTGCAGGCAATCCATTCTCTTGACCTCCAAGGCCTCAAAGAACGAAATTTGAATACGTTTTGACATCTCGGGCAAAAATATCCAGCCGAGGAAGCCACTTTCAACGCGCGATGGTGGAGAGGGAAGGAATACGACGCGCCAGCTACCGTCTAAGGCGGATGTCTCGCCTTGGGCCTGCTCTCCAGTAAACCCGGACCCTTTTTATGCCGCCTTCGCGTCGCGTAGGCAGAGCGCCTGGGTCAGAACAGGCAAAGCGCCGGGCAAGATGAGCGGGGCTGTCGCGCGGGGTCGCTGTGCTCGCGCCCAGCTAGGGGAGCCCCGAGGTCTCAAGTAGCCCAGGGCCCCCCATCGGAAAAGGTCCCTCGGGGGCACGTCAGGAGAGGGCAGAGGAAGGTCAAGGCCAGTAGAGGAGCGTCTCTGCCGGGCGTAGGGGCTGTAGACACTAGAAAACAGACCCAAGAGCCAGGATTCCCTTCCGCGTACGTCCCACTCTCCCAAACCCGCAAAGCCCGCTCGCCTCGCAGCCCCTTTGGGGCCCCAGCCGGCCCTTTCACTTACCACAGATCTTCAGCCCCAGTTTTCTGGTGCATCCATGGGCCACGCCGCACCAGGTGTCATACGCTAGAAACCAAGAGACGTGCGATCAGTGAGGCTCGACAGTCCGGCACCCGGTCGAGGGCAAAGGTTTTCTGGGGAGGGTAGGGGCAGGTCTTCGCCAGTGCGCCTCATTAAAAAGCTCTTTCCCGAAAGGAGCTAAGAGCCAGATCTTTGGGCCGATGGGGAGACTCGTGCCCCCCGAGACCCCATCACAGTCCCTCCCTGCTCCGACCTGAGGTACAGAACAGTGTCTCTGAGAGGCCACGCACCCAGCGCCCCACCCGCGGCTCCCAGCGACCACGATGGGGTAGCCGCCAAGGCGGGGTCGGAGTGGAACAGGGCTGACCACAGGTGCAAAGGGCCAGGCCCGGCTCCTCGACTTGCCCAACACCCACCCGCAGGCCCTGTCCCTTGGTTTCCGTCCCGCAGACTCGAAGGGCGACCACAGTGGCTGGGAAAGGGAACACAGAGACATCTGGGACCAACACAGCTCATAATTTCTTGGCGGGTCTCCAGCTGAGTGGCAGCTTAAAATAAACTGGCATGAAATGGGGTCGCGGAAGAGTTCAGGAATTAATTGGGTGAAAAATAGTATTTGACTAGATGGTCGGGCTGGCATGGCCGCTCTTCAGTGGGACCGGGGAGTCGGCAAGACAATAGTGCGCCTCGGGTCTCACCCCCTGCCCCCTCTTCCCAACATGCCCCTCATTAACCCTTCCCTCGGACGTCTCGGATCTGGAGCAGGCGAAGGCGAAGGGAATCAGACACTTTTTCTCCAGGTCTGAATCGCAGATTCAGGCGCTGCCGTGTTCTCAAACTCCTCAGCGTCTATCCTGCCCTCGGGGTTCAACTTCCAGCCAGAAGCACGGCGGTGCCTGCAGAGCCTGTATGCGAGCCGGTGTAGTGGGCCTAGCCTGAAATTCCCCTCGGATTCCTCATAGCAAGGCGCCTCCAATCACACCCATCCCCCACCCCATCCGGGCGGGTGCCTTCAGCCGGGCGCGAGTGTTTGCTGCGATAAGGAGAGTGACATCCATTAAACCCGAGGCACAACAGAGCCCCAGCGGGGAGAAGAACTAGCCCGACGTCAATGAGAGAGCGTGTCACAGATGGAGTTCCTGCAACAGACAGTAGTAAATCGGGGCGAAAGCTAAACCCTAATAAAAATGCCTGGCAGGTAAAGAGCTATTTTCATCCGATAGAGGGCTTTCATTTTAAAGGCCATCTCACCTAATCCTCATAACCCTAGGAAAAAAGAGGAGTGTTAATCTAAGACTCACTTTACAAATAAAAACACTGAAGCTCAGAGAGGCTAGGAGAGTTTTCCAAGGTCACTCAGCTGTGGCGTTGGAGTTTAGACCCATGGCACTGCCTTTTAGAGTTGGGGATTGCAGTGAAAGAAAGGGAAAGAGAGATGGGAAGAGGAAGTGAGAGAGATCCTTTGACGTAGCCAGAGTAGGGAAGACCGAGTGGCTGAGAACAAGGAGGAGGCGTCGCCGGAGCAAGAGGTCGAGTAAGGTTGTGCGAATTGAGCAACGCCACCTCCCAGGAGACCCTGGCGGGGCAGAGAAGCAGAGCCAGCTGGGCGGGCGAGGATGTGTCTGCAAGGGAGGGCAAGGATGGGTGGAGAGCCAGGTGTGCGCGCACAGCCTAGAATGCTCACGGCGGCTGGGCTGTCGGGGCCGACGGCGGCGTTCTCAGGACAGGTGCTGCAGGCTTTTCCTGGGCCCAGCTCTCGGCTATCTTCCCTCCGCCCTGGCAAATTCCGGGCGCGCCCGGCCATAAGCGAACTCGGGTCAGCTCCTCTACTGGGTCTGGGACCCGCGGTTAGGCACATGGGCTCCGCTGCTGGCTGCCTCTGGGAAGTAGGGGCGCAGTAGGGGTTCAGGACTCGAGGGTGGGTGAACACAACGGCCGCCCACCCCTGCCAGACAGCAAAGAAAGGGGCAGGAAATGTGGAGAGAACTGGAAAAGAAATCCATCAGGGCCAGAGCAACAGACAAAGGCGCGCAGGCCTCCCGTTTCTCTTGGCCTGGTCCGACCAGCTCTGGTAGCCAGTGCCCGGCTCTCGCGCCACTAAGGCTGGCGGCTCTCCTGAGCCCCTCTTTGTTGTGTGGGTAATTGTAGCTTGCCTGGGGGTCTGGGGGAGGGAGCTGCAAAGGGAACTGGAACGCCGCCTAAGAATTTAAGAGAAGGCCTCCAGTCGGGAAGCCAAGGGCAGCACCTAGGGGTTGGATAGAGGGCTTACCTGATACCCCCCTATGCCAACCTTCGTTGATGGGAACAATTGATGTTTTCTCAAGCTTATAGAAAGTGCTACAAAAGCGAAGCAATGAGCTCTCCTTCTAACCACAATGCCATCCCTAAGCCCTTTTGTATAGAAATTCTGGGGCCGTTACTATCCGGAGCTCATGGATTTGGAGGGAGCGCATTTCCATCCAAAGTGGAAAAAGGAAAACAATTCCCTCATCTCCACATCTCTACAAAGATGCTGGAAATCAATCCGAATTAAAGACAGATTCTGGAAATGGGTTGAGTCGCCGCATGGAGCTAGGGGTGGGGAAGCATACATTTCCCCACCCGCTTTTATCTGGTTCCCCTTTTCTTCCTCTCTCTTCCAGAGGTGTTCATTGCTGACAGGTCTCCTGCCCTGGAGAAAAGAGAGGGCTGCTCTCTCCTACCGCCCTGGCAAACCTTCTGGATTCTTCCTGGTTCCCCACTTCTTGCCACTCAGGATGATGCCCGCTTTTTTTTTTTTTTTTTTTTTTTTGTCTCTGAAATGTAATTGTCTAAAATGTCGAGGCTTAATCTCAAACCATTTTATGCTCCTTTCTCGCTCCTGGCTTCTTCCTCACTCGTCAATAGCTCGACGCAAATTTGGAGCAATTAGGGACCCCGAGTTTTCTAAAAGCTGCAATTAACGTCGAAATTTCCGCTGATTATAGAGTTCGAGCACAATGCAGGGGTAAAGGAGGGGGGGAGGGGTCAGATCTCGGCTCAACGAAAGCCGAAGACAGAAGACTCTATTCCCGCTGAGACTCCCAGCTCCTCACACCGCCCCTTGCGCTGACCCCCGTCGTCCCACCTAGCAAAGAAACCACACACAACACAACAAAAACAACACTCTCGCCGCGCGTCCTTCCCCCGCAGCGAAGCCTCCAAGGATCGCCACCGCTCTGACCCTGCGTGGTTCCCACTGCGTTAGCGCCCTGGAATCGCCTAGCATCCCTGGCAGTCGAACGACCTTTGGTCGGGACCTGGGTCAGGGCCCCACTTCTGTCTAGCCTCCATCATCTCCGCGCTCCCCCTTCCCTTTCTGCCAGCGCAGCCTCCTCACGTCCCAGCGCCCCCATCTTCCCCGCAGTCCATTTGATAGGAAACTGGAGCAGGACCTACTTGTGGGGCGCAGGTTGGTAGTATTGGGGTCCGCTCCCGCGTTCGAGGAGGTTGCGGACGAAGAAGGGGTCGAAGACGCCATCTGCTCGGTTGTCCCCGGTCCTCTGCTGTCCGGGGTCCTCGGCCGGCCGGGCTTAGGAACAGGCTGCAAAGAGAAGCGAGAGCTGCACGGGGAGGGATTCAGGGGTCCGGCGCGCGGGAGGCGATTGAGCGGTCGGGGGCGCGGACGCTCCCGCTTAAGTCCGGGCTCAGGAGAGAGAGGCTAGAGGAACGGCAGCCAGCGGGCTGGGTCGGGGTGCGCCGGGCTGGGGACGGGGGGAGGAAGAGACGTGCACGCGAGCTGGGGACTCGGGCGCCCGCAACGTAGCCCGGGGCGGCTCTCCAGTCTGGCGGCGGGGCGACCTGGAGCGCAGCGCTGAGACTAGAGGAGCCCAAGGCCAGTGCAGGTCGCGCGGGTGCGGGGGACTGGGCTAGGAGGGCTAGGGAGGCTCAGTGCGCGGTTTTCCAGCCTAGCCGCGACAAGCACTATTGGGCTCTCAGCAGCCGGCGGGCGGGCGGGCTGGCGGGTGTTGGGGGGGAGGAGGGCGCACGGGGCGGGCACGTCTGGTTCGGTGTCTGGTTCCCCTTGTTGTGTCTGGCTGATTCCCTGGAAAGAAGGAGGCTAACTGCTCCGGGGACCGGGGACTTTGGTGAGACAAGGTGAGAGGGAAAAAAAGGTCCACGTCTTTACGTTCTCCCTCGGACTTGACTGGGGTAGAAATACAGTCACCTTGTAGTCCAGACAGCCAGAAAGCAGCGAGTCGGAACCTCGCTTGTCTCCCTCTTGCCCCACCCGCTTTGAGTCATCTCGAAGCCAAGAACGGGGCTCTATCCTTGTTTCTGTATTTCCTCTCCACCCAACTCTCTGAGGTCCCCGGATTTCTAGCTGTACAGACCCGGAGAGGGTGAGAGGCAAGAAAGGGGAACGTCACCGGGGAAACGAACTTACGCCCAGCGCGCGGGAGGTGGCACACAAGGATAGGTGCGCGGCGCCCGTGTTCCGCGCTCGGCGCTGGTGCGATGGCTTCCGAAGGCCAGGGGACAGAGAGTGCGGGCGAATCTGGGTACATCTAAGAGCCTGCAGAGTAGCGCCCGCCGGCCACGGCCTCCAGACCCTGCATAGGACTCCGCATCTAGCTCCGCGCGCGCACTCGCCCAGCAGAGCAGGCAGAGGGGAGGCCGGGGCTTCTGGGGAAGTAACAGGTTACCGCTCTGAGTCGCGCCTTCGGCTGCTGCTGGCCAGGAGCCCATTGGTGAGACCGGCGCTCGCAGCCGGGAGGCGGAGGGGAAAATCGCTCTCGCTCCACTCCTGCGCGAGCCTCAGCCTCTGTGCGTCCCCGGGGCATGAATCTCGCTGATGGGGATAGGATGATTGCGAAGGCTGAGGTCTCTGCGCCGCGCAGGAACGGAGAGTCAGGACTGGGGCGGGTGGGACGCACTCAGCTCCGGAGGGTAGATGGCAGACACTGGGGTGGGGATTGGTCAAGAAACCGCGGGTGAAGAGGACCCAGCTAACAGTCGCGGCTGGGTACTGGGAAGGTACGGGCGGCCGCGCGCTTACCCACCTAGGTTGGGAGACAGCAAGCCGTGCGCTCCGGTCGCTCTTCTGCGTAGCGCCCAGCAATCCGCCCGGCTCGGCCCGGCTCTGCCACAGGCGTAATCTGCCCGGCGTCACCTCCAGCTGCCGCCTCTGTTTCGCTAGCACCGTCCCGCACGGGAGCTCCAGGAAGAGAAAAGAGCAATCCGAAGAGGCGGCTTCTTGGCTTCGGGGGAGGCGGAGGCGGAGTGGGGAGGCGGGGACCGGCTCAGCAGGGGAATCACGAGGCCGCTGCTTGCGGGGGCAGCTCGGCAGAGCGGTGGGGCTCCTTGCAGGTGCCTGACCGCCTCTGGAGCTTTGTAGGGCGATTATAAATCCAGATCACGGGTTTGCGCCCGGAAAAAAAAAAAAAAAAGGAAGAAAGAGAAAGAAAGCAAGAAAGAAAGAGAAAGAAAGAAAAAGAAAGAGCCCTATGAGTAATCCAGACCGTACTCAACACGCTCTATTTTTTGAAATAGGCAGAGTGTCGGGTAAGGCGAGGCAAGAGAGAATTTCTATGAAGAATTCTGCCTCGCTGAGCGCTTCTCCCTCCCTTTCTTCTCCCCCACTACCATATCTTCGAGAAGACAAGAGCAGTATCTTTGCCTCAATTACTCTCCCCGCGGTTCCTCCAGCTCTACGACCCCACGATGCCTCCTTGAGCGAAACCGCGTTCTGGGTCGTGTCCTTGCTGGCTCTCTACTGAGCCAGGATTGTCGTGAAAGCAAAGGAGGCAGAGACGAGGGGGGAACACTCAGACCCTAGAGGATTCCATCTCCTTTTCATTTCAGTTTCCTCATCCAGCTCAGAGCCTCCCCAAGTATTTCATCTGAGTTCAGCTACCCACTGCCTCCGCAGAGAAAAGGGTCCGCTTTCCAACCGACTGTACGCTCCCTCCTAGCTTTGGTTCCCTTGGTGATGGGGAAAGGAGTCCTCCTGATTGATCATATCTGAAGGTTAATAACACGCACGAGTGCCGCTCCACACACAAGGGGAACCCGAGCATAGAGGTGTCCTGGGGGTGGGGTGGGGGGAGCGGACCGGCCCTCTATGCCTAGGCCCACTCCCCTCCACTCCCCCTTCGATTTCATGCTTTTTAAGGATTCTCCTTTTGCAATATTTAAACGTATTTAACGAACTGCCTGGTTCGGAAAGCCCCTCACGGTAAACAGACGTTCACGGAAAAATTTCCACCAGATGGCGCTAGGCGGCCAGAGACCGAGAGGCCCTACGCTGGCCGGGTCTTTCCTCGTGCGCCAGAGCCAACAACTAGACTGGCTGGCGGGGCTGTTTATTCTCTGGCCTTTTCAAGCCATCCCTCAGGCACCCTCGTCTCTAATTTTTGTTCTCCTCTTTCCTCTACCTCAGTTTCTTTTTCTTGAGGGCAAAACAAAGTTGATCTTTGGGTCTGGGTGACACCGTGTAACCAGTGATTCCTTTACTCGTTTTCGCAGTGAGTTTTTTTTTTTTCCTTTCCCTGTTGCGGTGCAGCAGGCAGGGGTTATATATGGACACGTCTGCGGCCTTGCTGGCCCACCGGAGTCCCGACCCTTCTCTCTGAATATCTTATTGCCTTTCACCATGACACAGTGGGGATGCCGAAAATCTTACAAAGCACTGAATATTCCATAAGGGAGATCGAAGATTCAGCCCTGAGAAGACGGAGTTCGATTAGTACGAGGGATCTCGTTGTGAGGTTTGAAATAACCGCGTTGCCCTTGATACTAAAGGAAATACTGTTGCCCTCTCTTCAATCTTACAGTAAGAACTCGGGCACTTTTTAAGGACGGAAAAGCATCCCGAACGGCGGGCGTGGGTAACAGCAGCACCGGGCGCCAGAGCTCAGGACTGGGCAGGGTGGGCGTGCCCACTCCGCGCAGGAAACAACCCTTCAAACCGCGCACCGCGCAGCTTCTCTGCCACGCTTGGAATGCGCGGTTTACTACGAGACTAGGCTCGGAATTCCACCCACGCCCCTTCCTCGAGCCTTCCTAAAAGAAATGGTTGCACCAATCAGGGAGCCCGGTGCTAGGGCTCGATCATTCAAGACGCCCTGGGGCAAGGAGGCCGGCGGGAGGAGGCAACAAATCCCCGCTCCTCTCAGGGTGTGCCGTACCAGGAAGACGCCCGCTCACCTTGTCTCCTCTGCCTTCTCCTAAGATCCGAGATTCCCCAGAAAGGAAGATTCGTTTACCTTAACCTGTGGCATCAGACTGAGAAATTTCCACCCACTCCCTCTTCTGACCCCGGTGTCCAAAACGCTCACCCCTAACGTTTTAGCCAATAAAATAATCTCGCCGGAGAAAGAAATCTCCTACAAGACTGTGTGTCTCAAATTAAAGCTGAGTCCGTCCAGCTGCAAGGACATCCCTCCCTTTCTCCTTTATGTAGGGGGAAAGGGAGGAATGAAGGCTCTTGCTCGTCCTTAATTTTAAAATGTTTAATATTAGTAATTAATTAAACGGATGTTTATTAATCACCTACTTTGTGCCAGGCGCTGTTCTCATGGAGCTTACACTGTCCAGCAATTTATATTATCCCTGCACTCATGAACATTCCAGTTAGGCGGGAAGAGTAACAGAGTTGGGGACTTCATGGCTTTGATTTAGTTTCCAATTATCTCTCATTCCAACCCAGACTCTTGGGCTCAGCGGAGATGGTAAAGAACCGAGGGCCTGGAATTCCAGTTTCAGCACAGCGAGTTCGGACTTAGGGCACGGCTCTTTCAGCACCAAGGACAGAGCCCACGGTTTGGTCGCTTAAGCCTCCGGTTAGTCCGCTTAGGTC